CTTATATTCTATACTCAATACTAAGCATATTTCAATGTCTTGACAATAAATGAAAAAATTGTTAATATGGATAAATATAAAAATATGGCCTTATTCAACATCTAAACTGTATCATCTTGAACATACTTCTTTAATGTCTTATTGATATCAATTGTAAAGTCTTTATCGGTGAAAGGTTAATAAATCATATAATTTTTTAACAATGGACTTACTACCTATTATTAATTATGTTTAAAGTTGAAGATATAATATTATAAAGGATTTATGTGAGTACAAAAAATATAATATTTATTTAAGAGAGAGGAAAGAATACTTTTTGAAGAACATGAAAGTATTTTAAAAAAAAAGAATAATAATTTTAGAAAAATTATAAACTTTAATCCCATCAAAAATTACCCAAATTATTTCATTACAACATCCTTTCCTAAATTCTAATTAAATTGAATTACTATAATGTCATCATTAGTAATGATAAAACTTTTAATAATAATTAATTAATTAAGTAGAATCTTATCATTTATAAATAATTAGTTTTATATTCCTTATTTGTGAATTGACCTATCAAAATCAGCAGTAGAGGTTTAAAATAATTAAATAATACTAATATTTAATCTAAAGTAAACATTACAAGAATCTTCCAAAGTTGTAAATAAAGGCATAAGTATTAATAAATGTCTAACTATTTATTCTATTTTCAGCTAAATATCATTTAGAAAAATTATAAAATAATTAAATTTAACATCGCCTATTTTATCTACTCTTTATCTTCTTTTAAGGCTCATAAATTTTAATAAATAATCTTTAAAAATGGTTTACCTTATCTTTAGTAAGACTATATTATTCAAAGCATTCCTGTTTATTAAAGTGTATTTTAAAATTTCAATTTTGATATATATGATATGTTGAATTTATTGGACACTTACATTCATAAAATTATTTGTTTTAATTTAACCTTATTTACTTACTTAATGATTATAGTGTTCAAATGTATTAAATTGAATCTATTTAGAAATTGTATTTTTTATGAAGCTGGAGAGTATTACAAATTGTTGAATGAGAAATCTTTTCATTCGAAAGGTTGATATATATCTAAAATAATATCATAGATATTCGAATTTCATGTCTGACAATGTCCATTATAATTAATAAAAATTAAATATTTAATAAATATCAAAATCAGAAATGCATAGAGATTAAATTCAAATAGAAAAACTTTAGAGAAAAAGATCGCTTCTAAATGGCTTTATGATGTGTGTTATGATCTTAATTATCCCTAAACTAATGAAATACAAGAATATAGAGGATTAGGGAACATATAACAGTAATAAATTATTACCATTAGAAAATCATTTAGATAATATTAGCAATGGCTGCGATGATAGGTCATTGTAGATAAATTGTAAATATAAGTTTTTCTTTTATTACATTATTTAAAGATTCTCCGAGTTTTCCAATATTAAAAAACTTACATAGCAAATACAATTTACTTTTAATGAAACCATTATTA